CCCCAAAACCCCAAAACCCCAAAACCCCAATTTTACTTGAAAAATTGAACAATTTACGTTGAAATTAGAACATATCCTCGTCTTTGAGGGAATCATAAAACTTCTTGTCCCCCTTGGACTTGCTAGATTTGCTGGCCTTGGCTGACTTTGCATCAATAGTATCTGATCCTGCAGAACTTTTGTTGGAATCCTGAGAGTCCTTATCCATTGGAACATCAGAGTCTGATCCATTAGATCTCTCAGGTGACTGAGAGGCATGAGATTTAGATGATTTTTGAGTCTTTTTGATCATTTCTACATCTTTCTCCTCTTCATCCTCCTCTTGAGATGAGCCTTTCTGGCTTATCTTTTCCAACTTTCGTTCATGCTTTAAAGTGCTAGGCTCTACTTGTGTGAAAGGAATATTTTTAGACTCAATCGAGAAGCAGTAGTTGCCTTTAAGATCCTCACTGATGATAAAAACACAGCAGGTATTTTCATCGTCTTTCTCCATTGCCATTTGGAATTGGCTTTCCATCATCTCTGAAATTTTCAGGGGCAATCCAATATATCTCAGTGGGACTTGTAGCTCAAAGTTATCACTCCGAACTATCTCCCCATTGAGGTCTGCATAATTCAGGTAGTTGTCAAAGCCACCAGTGGAGATTTGTAAACTTGACTTAGAATTCTGCTCTCCAGTAAGCCGGAGTTCATCACGTATGAAGCCCATTTTGAGCACTTCAGTTTTGGACTTGCTCTTAAAAACACCTTTAATGTTCCTGAATTTACGGACTGGGCAGTTGACAAGCAACATATTTGGTTCAAAGCTGTACTCCATTTCATAAACTTCCTCTTCCTTCTCGGTGAGTTGGACAACTTCGAATAAGAGTTGGGTGTCAACTTGGAAGCCATCACGAGTCTTGAGGATCTGCATGCAGCCAGATTCCCCATTCTCGTTAACTTTAATGATGAATTCCACCTCCTTATCATCATGAAGAGTGAAGCACTGGAGGAATTCGTTCCTGTAGAGCTTCAGCTGGGTGAACGAGGAGGATGCCTGAGGCTCTAGAGCTTTGAACGTGGTGAAAAAGTCCTCCGTCAGGTCAGCAGTCGAAGTTGTGGACACTGTGTTCGCGTAGAACCGTATCTTGTTCGGGTAAAGTTGCAGCATGAAGGTCTCTACTGAGGTTGTGATTGCTTGGATCGTACGCCTCAGAAGTTGGATTTTTCGACGATCTGTGAGGGAAAATGACATTTTTGGTGGTCTGGGATTGAGAGGAAATATATCTAAATGCTAATTATTAGAGGAGTTGAGTTTTGTTTGTTTTCAATTTTTACTAAAATTAACGGGGTTTTGGGGTTTTGGGGTTTTGGGGTTTTGGGG